TTGCATACCATGATGAATTTCCTAAAGCAGATATATTTTTATTCATTTATGAGCTCCCTTACAAGGCCATCTTTAGTATTGCCATTAAGTTATTTTTCCTAGTTTACATTATCATGTGGTAAATACAGCTTTTTCTGGTTTTAGTCACATTCTGCTCTCTATTCCTTCAATATTATATTCTCATTTAAAAAAAAAGGACCTAGGTTCTGCAGCCTGTATTATCTGAGTGCCACGTGCTATATATCCCATGATCTCAGAAACACTATATAAACATAGATTTGCACATATCATGGGGCTGAAATAGGATGCAAAGAAAAACTTTTTTTAAATTCTGATAACTAACAAAATCAATTTGCCCTTAGGTCAGAGTGTGAGTTATAAGGCTTTCTGAAATACTGTTTTGCTTATTGTGGAGCCTCTGGGTTTTTTCTACCAGCCCTTCCATGACTTAGAATTAAGAAATTATAAATATGTTGGCCAAGAGTTTTACATTAGCAAAACTTAAGTTCAGCTTCTAAAGTCAGATTGAAGCACAGAAGTTCCCTGTAAACCCCGCACTCCAGATGGTAAACTCCGCACTTTTTAGGTATCTCAGTTTTAGCTAGTTTGGAAAACTTCAATTACTTAATGTGGCTAGATCCTTATAAAAAGCAAACAAACAAAAAAAGCCCCCCAAAAACAAGAGTAGGTTCAACAGTTCAAAATGGACAATAAGAACAGCATCAGTGCCATTGATAATTAGTTGTTAATTAATATTAATTAACCAGTCCAGCAAAACTGTAGGATCCGTTTCATAGATGAGCAGGAAGACTGAGATGGTCATTCAGGTAATTTTGCAGTCCCGACTGGGTAGAAATTAAGCCATCTGTTCTTCAATCAGAATATAGTTTCTTGGAGGTACTGCAGCATCGTGTATCCAAGTAACGTCTAGCTCACTTGGCAGCACAGCCAGTGAGGTTTCATCTGTTCTGCCTGCCTTTTTTCTTTGAATACTAAAAAAATATTCAGGCCTTAAAACTCTCCAGCATCACCTCAGAGGAGTAAACATAATTCTATGCTATAGGTAAAGCAATGAACTGGGTATGCATGTTAGTCACCAATACAGTGGGATAAAAAAGTGCATAAATTATGTAATACTGAGGTAAAAGTACTGAGAGAATGCAGCTGCAAAGGGATTATCCATTAAATGTGTCTGGACTTGCACCTGTGAATATTTTCTGCATCTCATAGTGATAAAGTTAAGACATTCTCTT